TGGCTAGCATTGAAGAGGAAAGGAACTGAATGATAAACCAATTGAGGGTGATGCACTGAGGGGCAACAAATGAAGAGAATGGAAAGTGGTGTTGAGGAACACCGCCACCGTCTGCTGACCACCACCACCACTACCGATGACCATCATTCGCCGCTCACACCTGCCGATCATTCACCTGTAGTGGTGATGGTGCCGCCTGAGCACTGTCAGCACCGGTTGTCATCAAGCAAATGTGGGCAACGGTGCAGTCTGCACGATTGCACCTTTCTCTTTTAACTCTGATTTACTATCACCACTATCACCACCACCACCACCGGTCGATCAAACCAATTTGGTCAGCAATCGCCTGTGCACTAATTGAAAGGTCCACCCAGTCATCCATTAGGATAAATTAATTGATGCCCCGCGTGCCTGCACACACACACACACACACACACATTTCCTCGATGATACATCTTCTGATGATGATCAGCGTCTCAGTTCGGCACTTTTTCTCCCTTTCTCTTTAGTCTTTTGCCGTCCCTGCGGTCAGCATCAGCGGTTGCCAGGCTGAACAAACTGCACACACACACAGGTCAGTTTGGCAGTGGTAATAAATGACGACGTTGATCTCGATTGCTTGCGACGGCAGCAGCAGCATCAGCACCATCACAGCGGGACCACTTCTCTGCCGTCTAACGGTATTTATAAGCACAGTCAGCTAGACATACAGACAGACAGGCTCATTTGTTTGCCGCCGCATCCTCTCTCTCTCTCTCTCTCTCTCTCTCTCAGCTTTTTCTTCCCTCCACTCCTTCTGTTGCATCAATTAATAGCGGTGAATTAATCACCTCGTCGTCGACTTCGACTTTTTGAGCTTGCAACAGGACTCGGCGGTGGCGGCGGCAGCATCAATCTGGTCAACCAAGAACGGACAGCAGCAGCAGCAGCAGCAATCGGTGCACCTCATTTGCTCGTCTATTAATACAAGCAAACAGGCAACAGCAGCAACGGCTCTTGTTCTACTCAACAAGTGCTGCCGAAAATGGTGATCCTATGCGCTGGAGAAAGCACTTGCTGCCGTTGCCGCCACTGTCCCCTCCACCGTTGATTAATCATGGCGCATATTCATGCACCATTCTGGCATACTCTGCTGTGCTCATGTGTCGCTGCTGTTGCTGCTATTAATAGTGCAAAACCGCCTAATTAAGAAAGTGAAACAGAAGATGAGGAGGAGGAGAAGAAGAAAGAGGATGGAAAAGGAAACTGACGGCGATTGCATCACTTTTCCCTGATCTTCAATCTCCATCTTCTTCTCTGCTTTCATCCATTCAACATTCCATTCATTCATTCGTTTNATTGCTGCCGTTGCTGCCACTGTCCCCTCCACCGTTGATTAATCATGGCGCATATTCATGCACCATTCTGGCATACTCTGTTGTGCTCATGTGTCGCTGCTGCTGCTGCTATTAATAGTGCAAAACCGCCTAATTAAGAAAGTGAAACAGAAGATGAGGAGGAGGAGAAGAAAGAGGATGAAAAGGAAATTGACGGCGATTGCATCACTTTTCCCTGATCTTCAATCTCCATCTTCTTCTCTGCTTTCATCCATTCAACATTCCATTCATTCATTCGTTTGTTCTTATTCACTCTCAACTTACCTGTTGGGCATTCTCGCCGTCGTCCGAGGCGTACGTCGTTATGTACTGTGTGCTGCTTTTTGGCGTCTGCTGCTGCTGTTGATTGCTGCTTCCATAAACGTCACCTGAGTTCTGTTGTTGTTGTTGCTGTTGCTGTTCACCACCTTCCTGATCCTGCTTCTGCGCAGGAAAGTACTTGCGAAAGGCCTCATCGACGGACATTGAGATGGGCGTAAAGCCGCCATTGTCACCACTGTTTGAGTTTTCTCCTCCACTTGCAGCTCCACCACTGCCATCTACAGCTGTTGTTTTGCTGTAGTACGGACTGTCCATCTCATGTGAAATGCTGGTCGCCTGTCCATAGGTCTGGTCACTTTCATGGGCGTTCAGCAGTTCACCATGGTTAGTGGCACCACTGTCGCTCATTCGGTACACCGAGGGAGAGAACTCTCGCGTGACGACGCCTGATGAACTTCCGGTGCTGCTGTGCTTGTACGCCGAAGAGATTGACGGCTCAAAGGTCAGCTGAGCCTGCTCGGCGGCGTAGTTGGCAAAGGCTTTCTGGTGGTCGGATTGCTGAGTTGAGGAGGAAGAGGAGCTGGACGTCTTTGGCGGATTGCGCATTCCAAACTCAGGCACCACTTGTTGCTGCTGCTG